GAGAACGGGGAAGAGAGAGACTGGGGGGAGAGAGAAGGGGGGAGAGAGAGAGAGACTGGGGGGAGAAAGAAGGGGGGAGAGACAGAGAGACTGGGGAGGAAGAGAGAGAAGGGGGGACAGAGAGACAGAGAGAGAGAGAAGGGGGGAAAGAGAGAGACTGCCCCCCCGTGAGTATCGCGGGTCCCCCCCTTGTACTATTCTAATCTACTATTCCAAATAAGAAAAAAAAATGAGTAGAATCGGCACCTGGCAGTTGTCTATAGAAACAAATACTTCCGAAGTATTTCCTAAAGGCTTTGTAATAAGTTTGGGCCGTGTCTTTTCCACTTAGCCTGCGAATATCATTCAAATGGATGGTCCGCGCATTCTCCGGTTACTTAGCCACGGATCAGCTCCTGCTTTTGTGGGACAGGATTTTGGGATACAACTCTCTGGAAATCCTTGCAGGTAATGGAAAAAAATTATGTTTCTAAATAATGTCAACGTTCTCCTTAATATATATATTAATGAAGAATCATTTGGTTCCTTGGGTATGGTGTGTCCAGTCCTCCCAGCGTCGGTCCTGCTGCCGCCTCTCTTTTTTCGACCTTCCACTGCGACACGCACTTTTGTACAGCAGCAGAGAGAAGAAATGCAACCAGAGGGTGCAGTTACTTCCTTGCCCCTTGTCTCTGCTGTCTGAAGAAACCAGCATAGGAAGGATTACAGTGTCTGGAGAACGTAAAAAACCCTACAAATACACTGCAATAAAACGCTAAATAAATCAATAAGGTTTGGAACACTTTCCCTATGAAGAAAGGTTAAAACGCTTGGGGCTCTTTAGCTTGGAGAAACGACAGCTGAGGGGTGACCTGATCAAGGTTTATAAGATTATGCATGGGATAGAGCAGGTAGAGAAAGAAGTACTTTTCTCCCTTTCTCACAGTACAAGAACTCGTGGGCACTCCATGAAACTGCTGAGCAGTCGGGTTAGAACAGATAAAAGGAAGTCCTTCTTCACCCAAAGAGTGATTAACACATGGAATTCACCTTCAAGAGGGAATTAGATAAGCATATGGAGCAGAAGTCTATCAGTGGCTATTAGCCACAAGGTATAGGTAGGATCTCTCGGTCTGGGGCAAGTGATGCTCTGTCTTCTTGGTGCTTGGGGGAGGGGCAATAGTGGGAGGCCTCCTAGTCTCCTGGCCCCACTGCTGGACCTCCTGACGGCACCTGGTATTTTTGGCCACTGTGTGAAGAGTGTTGGACTGGATGGGCCATTGGCCAGATCCAACATTGGCTTCTCTTATGTTCTTATGTTCTTAATCAAACTTAAGGTAATAAAAGTTGTGTGTAGTAGTATTTGTCTATTTTTCCAATACAAAACGTATACATTCAATTACAATTATACATACAATTTAGATTAAGGACTTTGATGATTCCTTCTTACTGTGATGATTCTTCTTATCCAGTTGTGGAGGGGTTTACATCGGGACCACACAGCGTAGCCTTCAGACGAGAATATAAGAACATGAAAAACACTGCAGACTGGGCCAACCTGAAAAATCAGCAGCGGCTGTACATAGCCTAACTCAAACAGGACACAGTATCTTAGTCCAAGACACTGAAAGGCTGGACAACACATCCAATTACCATGTCAGATTACACAGGGAAGCCATTGAAATTCATAAACATAAACACCATTTCAACAGGACAGAAGAGGGTTTAAAAATAAATAGGGCATGGTTTCCTGTCCTGAAAAACACAAAATGCTCGACATCTTACAATAAGCACTACAGATAAGATTAGAATTTCAACAGCCAATCCACATGCAAAAGAACCTCCTCAGGAAAGCTCCTCCATTAGCATGTCACAGCCTGGGGAACTCTTACAAGATAATGACTCAGCCCTACCCCACCTTCCTAAGTAGGTATAAATTACCTGGCTACCTTTTTTCTTCTCACCTTGACACAGAGAGTACTCCATCTTTCTGTGTTATACCTCTGAGGATGCCAGTCACAGTTACCGGCGAAACGTCAGGTCCTACAATGCCAAGACCACGGCCACACAACCCGCAAAATCTACAACAATCTACAACAACTAACTTACTATGATTTGTTGATTCTATGTGATGATCCTTGACCATTTATATTACGTTTCAAAATATTTTCTACATTGTATGTATAATTGTACTTGTATAAATTTTGTATTGGAATAATTGCACACAATAGACAAATACTACTACACACAACTTTAATTACCTTAAGTTTTATGTATCTATTTAGCATTTTGTTACAGTGTATTTGTAGTTTTTTTTATGTCTGAAGAAACCAGATACTGCTGAGGAGGAGGGCGTGTGCTGGCAGTAGCGGCAACGGTACCGAGACCAGCAAAGGCGTACCCTGGCTTCCTGTAGCAGCTCCCAGAAATAGGGATGTACGTACCAGAATTCCCGAGCCAAAAATATACCTCAAAAACGCCTTTTCAGGTCTTTCTGTGTATTTACAGAATGAAAAATTGAATTACGGAATGTTCTGGATTTACGAAGATTAAGAAATTCAGGTGGAATAGGGGATTGTTCCTGCAGTCTGGAGCAAGTCTTTTTAGAGCGCATCTGACCAGATCTGCGGGAACCCAAGGCCTGGCTCTCTCCTATTAAAAATACAAAAGCAGGCGTGGCCAGTTGAAGTGTGACAGCAACTCCATAGATCGAACTTATCCCGAGAGAACGGGAGCGTGCTGTGCACATGTGTACTCACCCAGTCTGCCTGGTCTTCTGTCATTTCACCCAGTTCATCCATGCACTCTCGCATGGAGAACTGTGCAGGCCAGCCCGTGTTTTGCGCAGCTCCCTGTGTGACTGCACAGAGGAGCATTCCACGGTCGACAGTTAACAGGTAAGTACTGTCCTGTTTTCTTGCAGGCCCAATGGACTTGATCGTCATCCTGGGAAACCTGGGTCAGGGGGTAAAGGTCATGGCGATCGAGTCTCTGCAACTAGACCGTGCCAGTGGTTACAGCCAGGGTGTGGCCATCTGACTGTCCTCGTGTGCCCAATGTAATGGGGTCTAAGTGCCACATGCTGTGGTATCATGGGAGAGGAGGACGGCTGTATGTGAACCGGCTGCCAGTTGTGTTTAAATGAGAGGCAGTGGGTTGGATCCAGCTGACTTTTCTGCCGGTGAAAAAGGAAGGTGGCATCCTCTTAGGCTGGGCTCTTTTTGTAGAAAAAAACCAGCAGGAACTCATTAGCATAATAGGCCACACCCAGCAGCAGAAAATCATTAGCATATTAGGTCACACCCCTGCCAGCACAGCTCATTAGCACGTTAGGCCGCACCCCCATGTTACCAGAAGTGTGGTCATCCAGCCACACCCACCTTTTGCTTCTTATTCTGTTGACCTTGTTTGTGGTCAAAACCCAGGGCCTTTTTGTAGCAGGAACTCCTTTGCATGTTAGGCCACACACCCCTAATGTAGCCCATCCTAATGAGTTTCTGCTGTTGGGTGTGGCCTGTTATGCTAATGAGTTCCTGCTGGGCGTGGCCAACTCGGGAGCCAGCCGGAACTCCGTTCCTGTGCCTTCCTGCCCCAAAATAGCCCTGCTCTTAGGGTATCTGGGGAGATGGGCTATCCTGGGGAGAGGCCCTGGCTCGGTGGCAGAACCTCTGCTTTGTATGCAGAGGGTCCCAGGTCCTATCCCTGGCTTCCGCAGTGAAAGATGCTGGTAGGGGTTGATGTGAAAGACCGCCGCCTGAGACTCTGGAGAGCCGCTGCCAGTCTGAGTGTTGTCATTGCTGTTGCGGATGATGGTGATGAATCGTCCAACCCCGGCCACAGCAGGGCTCCGGCCGATGTAAAAAAAGCCATAAAACAAAACAAGATAAAATCAGTTAAAGCATCAGTAAAACTTTTGAAACAGTCAGATGGCGAATAATCAACCAATCCCAGCTCCAACTGCCAGCTACTTCACGGACAGGGGGTGGAAGAGGGCGAGGTAGATGTAAGTACCAGACAACAGAGGAGGGTGCCAGTCAAGATGGAACCGTCACTGTCCTCAGTCAAAAGCCCGGCGGAACATCCCCGTCTTGCAGGCCCTGCGGAATTGCATCAGGTCCCGCGGGGCCTGATGGCACCTGGCAGAGAGTCCCACCAGGTTGGGGCCAGGAGTGAAAATGATATCTTTAGGGAGGGGGACCACCAGCAGATTGCTATCTAAGGAGCGTAACGCTCTCCTGGGGACATAATGGAGGAGACGGTCCCGTAGGTAGACAATACTGACCTCGATGGACCAAAGGTCTGATTCAGTTTTGGGCAGTTTCATGTTTTCATGTGCTCAGTCATGGAACCTGCATTTTCAAAACCATGTGGGATGGGAAACTGAGTGCAGCGTTGATAGGGATTGGGTGCAAAAGCTGGCGAGATCCAACCCAATGGTCCTGTTTTGTTTTTGAAATAACACCCTTGCACTGTTTGTTTTTAAAATAAAATTGTCATGAATTGACCAGAGCCGGACCACGGCTGCATCGTTTGCAAACAAAATTATCGCTGAATTCAGTTTAAGGATGGCGAAGACCGAAATATCTCCTGCGACTAATTAGTAGGCCGCCTGTCTAAATGTTGTGCATTCTTTTTCAGTCCTGGCAGCTGCCGTGTTTGCTTTCCGAGCAGTGAATCTAATGGAGGTGACATCACTGGCTGCCGCTGAAGTAAGGAGAGGTTTCACTTGGCAAAAATGAAAATAGTTCCTGACGGGGTGCCAGCCGCAGTAACTTGAGCTTCCCGGGCACATGGCATGCAATCCGAAGCGCTCTGCCGAAATTCTTACCCAGGCTAAAAATTCAGAGGAAGTTATGAAAATACAGGGATTAAGCTCGTGGCATTCTTGTAATGAGGGCAAGGGGGAAATTCTAAGTGGGTTATCAACACCGTCGCCTGTTGTTTCAGCTCTGCTGAAGACCTCTGTGTTTTATCACTCATTCTTACTATTTATATCATAGGCTGCATTCTGACGTCACAACAAACCTCTGCTTATGGTGGGCATGGACCTGGCTGGCGACTGTGCCTCCTCCCCGCCCCCTCCCGCCCTCCCCCCCTCCATGTACGTCTTGTGATTGAAAGCTTCCTTCTATCAGAACCCTCGAATCAAGATTCCAGTCTGCCTCCGTGCCTGAACGTGGGCGCCTGATGGAATTGGAGCCGGCCTCCTCCCGACAAACCAAGGCCCACTTGGATCAGTCATCTGTCTTTGGGACGTCAAAGCAAACGGAAGTTTGATTCAAGGTTCCAGCTTTCGGCTGTAATCCACAGCCAAGGGGAGGAGGGAGGAAAGCCCGGGAACCAGCCACGTGTATGCCAGTCGCAAACGAGCGGGCTTGCCGTGACGTGTCTAAAAGCAGCCAGAGGTTAAACGTGCTGGAGCAAACTGCCAGTTCGGCTTGCGTCGTGATTGCATGTCTGAATGGTTGCTGGGCTGTTTCGGTAAACAGCGTGAACCTGTCTGGTGAGGAATTACCATAACATTTACAGCAATGCCATAGTGCCCACCAGTCACTGCCAACTGGTTAAATAAAAACTGACACATAAATGAAGAATTGGGGGGGGGGGGAGCGCCTTCTATGACTACCAGTTTGGGTTTCCAGCTGATTACTAGTTGGACTGCTGGAATATTGACTGCTCTCTGGTCCAGATCCAGGGCAGTTCATGCCTGCATCTTCTTGCACAGCCTCATGGGAGTTGTAGTTTCTTCCCTTCACCTGGTGTTGGTTAAAAAAATGATTTTTTTTTTTTTTGGTTAGCTGTAAAAATAATAAAAGGATGCCGTGTGCAGACCCCACGCTGACATCTGAAGTGGAAGCACCCTGGCTGTTATTGATCAGGGGTAAATTCTTCTGTGGTCACTGGCTGTGTCTGGGAAGGAAACCTGAGCTAGATCTCCTGCCCCTTGGGGATTCTCTGGCTTGTCGCTCAGGTAGCTGCCTTATACGAAGGCTCATGACTCTTGGAGTCAAGTCTTGCAGTCAGCAGATACTGTCTACTGCACAGGCCAGCAGTCCACCAAAGAACCAGACAGGCTGCAGAAAAGACGAGGCAAAACTTAATGCATCAAAACATGCCTGGCTCAGCGTTCAAGTCAGGTGGCGAATAGGAAGAATGGGATAGATCGATCTCGGCACACAGACCAGAATGCCAAGCTGAAGGAGAGCTTTTCACAGACCGCCATCAAGGAAGTAGCTACTTCTGTGCCTCCTGATGCTGTGTAGACTGCAGCTGAAGATAAAAATCCCATTTTTTGCGTCGCCATCTTTGTTTAGCATGCCTGAATCAGATTTGTTTTATTTTCAACATTACTGCTTACTCAGAATAACAAGAGGAGCCTTGTTGGGTCAGGCCAGAGATTTGGCATGGTCGGTATCCCTACTTGAATCCACTCTTTCTGCCCACGGAAGTTTCTTTCTGCCAAGAAATTTCTTTGGGAGACTCTTGTTTACATTAATGATAGGCGGAGCAACAAAAGCTGATTTCCACTTCAGCGGGGCAGTCATCCAATGATTTCGGTGTGGACGACTTCGCCCCACTGCAGAGAAGAAACCTTCAGCTAAGGACAGTGTTTCGTTTTGATGCCTCCGGCCTGATTGAAGGACAGTTAATCTGAATAGCTGCCTTCGAGGTGAGAAGCTTTAAGCTGCTACAGGATGTGACCTCACCAGGGTTTAACTCTTCATGTGCCATATTCTCAGTTTAGCTTTCACGCAGGGTGAGAGTCACTTGTATTATTTACCAGCACTTTCTCAGGCTCAAAGCAGAAGTTACTGCTTTGACCGCTTACTTCCCTGTATTCTGTACACACTCATTCTTTCGTGCCTGGCTTTAATTATTTTCCTCCTTCTCACCTGAATGCTTACATTTCCCATCTCCCAAGCCTTTCGTTGACTCCATAACTGGAGGTGCAGCACTTTCAGATAAACAGGTGAATTATTTTACAGTGTTTCTCTGGTTTAATATTCGAAATGAAAACTGTCTGTAAACATACTTCTTATTTCAATAAATATGTTCAATGGTTTTCATTTAGAAAATCAGAGAACTGTTGTGAAATAATTGTGAATCATAATGCAGAGCTTGAACAAGTTTTAATATTAAACCTAATGGCCGGTCTTGTTCCTCAGCTGTTCACATCACCTTTCTTATCACTTGTTCTTCCTTTCACTCTTCCTGTTTGCCCGAATCAATGCAACCCTCACTGATTTGTATTTAACAGTTTCGTTATTGATCCATTTCTTGACTCTGTCTGGCATTGAAATGGTGAAATTATGCCCTTTTGAAATGGTTTTTTAAAATAAATATATTTTTATTGTTTGTTTAGTCTGTTACATCGAGTATTTGTAGCTATTTACAGTTTCACCCCTTTCCTCTCTCCCTCCCTCCCTTTTAATCTTGGTCTTTTCACCCCAGCCATGGGCACAAAGTCTTCATCTTCCACTGAATGTCTCTTCTTCTTTCTTTCAGTATCCAATCTAGGTAGGTCTTCCATCTGGTCTTGATTTCCGTGGATTTTTATTCCCATGTTGTTCCCTTGTTGATTGACGCCACGATATCTGACTGTATAAAGTCAAACAAATAGTTGTGCCAGATTTCTGTTGTCCATTTACTTTTGTCTTTCCAACCCAGAGCTATAACCGCCTTTCCCGCCAGAGCTATAACCGCCTTTCCCGCCTTAACTAGATTTAGAGTAGTCCTATCCAATAACGGGCTTCCTATTGTACTTAAGAACATTAGTTTAAAGTCTATAGTTAATGTTATATTGCATACTTTTCTAATAATTTCCCTCCAGAAGGTCTTTACTTCTGCACATTCCCACCACATGTGTGCATACCAGCCTTTAGAATGTTTACAGTGCCAGCACAGCGAACTCAATCCTGGAATCATATTAGCTAGCTGTGCTGGTATCTTTCTTCTCTATTTACATTCAGATATATGATTTCTGATTTTGCCATGTTAACACTTTTCAAAGTCTTCTAGGATAATCTTAATCTCTTTAACTCCTTCCTTAGGGTTTGTCATGATTACTATGATATCATCAGCAAATAAATTGAGCTTCATTTCTTCATTGCCTATCTTATAACCTTCTATTCTTTCCGAATTTCTAATCTGTTCCGCTAGTTGTTCTATTGCTATTATGAATATAAGTGGAGATAGTGGGCATCCTTGTCTTACTCCTCCTTGTATGGGAAATGCCTGTGAGTGTTCATTGTTTACTCTTTCGCGTTCCCTCCTTTATATATCTCCTGAATTGCCTGTGAGAACCCTTTCCCTATCCCTATTT